AATTGGAGTTAAAGAGCGAGATTTCCAGATGGCAAGTGTTGTTTTAAGATTTTGTAAAACTCGTTCGTAATTATTTTTATTACTGTATTCCGCATTATGCGAGAAGTGAATGCCTAGGATTTTAATTCCTGATTCATGAAAGTCGATCCATTTTAATTTTTTGTATCTTTGTGAATTATTATTAGTCTTATTTTTTTCCTTTGGGCCCAGCCAACCTATTTCGGATTTTTCAAGATTGATATTGAGCGATGAGAAGAGTTGAAAAATATGTAGCGTTTCTAAGATGTGAGAGAGACTTTCGATATCTTTGACAAAAAAGGTTGTATCATCAGCAAAAAGCAGAGTTTTAACTACCTCTTCTTTTCCCTCTAAATAAATACCATTAATATTAGTATTACTTCTAATCATTTCAGCCATAATTTCTATTATAAGTATGAATATGTATGGAGAGATAGGGTCTCCTTGTTTCGTGCCTCTTTTTATGCTAAAAAAATCTGTCACAAATCCATTGTTTATTACACAGCTTTTTGAATTTTCTAAAAGAAGGCGTATCCATTTTATRAATTGTTTACCGAAACCGAAACGACTCAGGGTTGCCCATACAAAATTATGTTCAATGCTATCGAATGCCTTTTCGAAATCTGCTGCGAACAAGAGTGAGATATTTTCCTCTGACAGAGAATTCTTCATCAGGTCGTCAATAAACCTTAAAGGTTCGTCGATAAACCTATCTTTAACATAAGCAGCCTGATTCGGGTTTATTATTTTGGGATTTTAATTAGTCTCGTGGCTAAAGTTTTGCTACAGATTTTTGCATCAACGTTGATTAAACTAATCGGTCTCCAATTTTTCAAAAGCCTAGCATCTTTCCCCGGTTTTTCAATTACAGTGATGACTACTTGACGTTGAGTGGTAGTTAAAAGACCTTTTTCTAAACTGTAATTTAAGGACCTTACCAACAATGGTCCTAATTTCCCCCAAAAAGCCATATAGAATTCCTTAGTCAGTCCATCATTACCCGGGCTTTTTGAATTCCCTAATTTTTGAAGTGCTTCGAAACATTCTTGCAAGGTTAGAGCTTTATCACAAACTTGCGATTCTTCTGGTGATATTTTTGGAACGTTTATTTTTGAGAGAAAATCTATGCAATCTTTTTCTGATTTCCCATTTTTCGAGATATACAAATTGCTGTAAAAACCTTTAAGAGAATCTAAATTTTTTTGAGGTTTTGTTATAATTATACCATCTTCTATAATTTTGCGGACATGTGTTTTTGCTTTATTTCGAATTTTTTAAGTTCAAAAAGTATTTGGTACACTTTTCACCTTCTTCGTACCATCTGCATCTTGATCTAAGCATAATACCTTCCATTACATTCTTACTATATGTGTTCAATTCACCCTTTAACTCATCATGCTTAGCTAGTGCGTCATTATCCTTCTCCCAATCACTTTTTTCTTCGATCTCTTTAATTTTTCTTTCAATTTCAGCATATTCCGAGCGCTTTCACGCTTCCAGTCGCTTTCACAAACATTTTTCATAATTAATAATATTCCGAAGACGAAATTTGATAAAACTCGAAATACCATAAATGAAATTCAAACCTGTCCATGAATAACACTACACTAGCACTTGCATTCTTCATCCGTGTAACTCGGCTGCACCATGCTTTTACCAACTATACTTCTCACTATTCAGACCAATGAAAAAATATCAACTAATATTTCAGGTCGAATCGGAGGAGAGTCTTACGGACATCTTGGAGGAGGTGCTAACTATGTATGCGTCCCTGAAGTCCCGGATTACCTCAACTACAAACCAGGAAGGCAAAATACTGCGTTTATATTTGGAACAGAGTATGAAGTAAACGACTTCAACCCACTCTCTAATACCGACCTCCACGACCATGACGCCCCTTGTGTCTCCTGCTAT